GTATTTGTTCTGCCCCCCCCTTTTACATCAAAAACACCATTAAATAAGTATGCTCTATGTTAACTGTGACTGCTTTTTGTTGACTGTCACTGCTTTTGCTGCTGTCTGCTAGTACTAGTACTACACTAGTGTAGTAGTAGTACTAGTAGTATCCTCAACAACAAGAGGAGCAAGAAGTTTAATAGCTTATAAGATGGCCCATTGTCGTGATTGTCGATTGTCGAGAATTACCTTCATGACTTGCTTTTTTAAACAGAATSTGCCTAGTCAAAATTTGTCATTGTGTGAGTAAATCTTTTCAACTGACATTCATCAGTTGGGGGTTTTCATGATGGATGCTGGTCAGTAGGATATTATCGAAGTGTACGTATGTGAGTAGACTTGTACATGATTTTCTACTACTGTTGCAAAATTAGTTGCATTTTAGGTTTACACCCCCACGATAGTACTGGTACAAGTTTAACTGGAATAAAAAATCAGCAAAAATTAACGATTTTTGGCCACACTACTACTACTGTAACTTTGGATGACTAGTTCGAAGCCCCTACTAGTAGAGTATCCTTTGGCTTCCCAGCAAGAATGACCTGGTGGATCTCTAAGTAATTGTATCAACTTGGTCTGGGCGCTTAGTCTGGTGGTCTGAAGTTGTTTTTTGATAGACTTCTGGCCTATTTCCTAAYCAGTAGCCGGTCTCCACTGGTCAAATTTGGCCATACCAGCTGTTAATGGAGAACCGCCTCCCCAAGGCCTCGAATCGTGTAACAATGACACATGGCACCACTGTTCCCAACACTAGTATTAGTAGGAAGCTTTCCCCCAAAGAACAGCTCCTCTCAGGCCATACCRGAGCAGTTCTAAATGTCAAATACTAGTAGATCAATGTAGGATCAGCAGTACTAAATAGTGGGCTTCAAAATTAACACATGATTTTACTTTTACTAGTAATAATTTTTGGTGTTTGAGTAGAATGCCTTTTTGCCCTGTAGGGCGTGGTAGGATTCTACGATTAACGCATTTTATATCGCTTAAACTGGTACGAGTACCTGGTACCCACGTAATACCTTGACGACTCAATCGATCTTTTCCGTCGTTCAATCAAAATCAATTTTTTGAAAATGACTGCAAGTTTGTTTCTTTCTTCACTCATTTGGAAATCGCTACTGGTACCTAGCACCGCATCTGTTTGTCGTCTGCCGCAGTGTTGACCAAAGTACGTTACCCATCTACCACTCCACGATATTRCCTATCAATCCCCGCACCACGCCARGCAGGAAGAACGAAAGCACTGGTGCAMAGGAGAATCGAAAGCTTTTCTACCATGGTTTTGTCGACGTCTCAGGTAACTCTGAAATCATCGCAGCTCAGGGCCGTATATCGGATGCTTGCATTCAACGAAGACATTGATGCTCTCGAGGACGAATTTTCATTGCCACCCGCTGGTTCTTCCCACAATCAATGGAAAATATTGATTTACGACCAAGAGTGTCGAAGCATTATTTCTCCGCTGCTCAGCGTGAGTCAACTCCGCCGTCGCGGGGTCACTCTCCATCTGTTGCTGAATTCCGAACGAGAGCCGATTCCGGATGTGCCCGCAGTATACTTTTGCCGACCGACCAAAGAAAATCTATCTATTATTGCGCAAGATTGTGCCAAGAARCTCTATGGGAGATCCCACTTGAATTTTGTGACGAAACTAGACAGGACGCTGATGGAGGATTTTGCTAAACTCGTCGTACAATCCGGCACGTTAGACACCATCGCGGGTGTTCACGATCAGTACTTGGATTTTGTTTGCCTGGAACAAAAACTTTTCAGTCTAGCCAAGAAAGATTCGTATGCGCTGTACAATGGATCGGGCGTGAACGAACAAATGATTGAAGAAGCCATGAATGAAATCGCCTATGGCCTGTTCAGTGTAGTTGCGACGCAGGGAAAAGTSCCAATCATACGGTGTCCAAGGGTAAGTGGAAAAGGGAATAGAACCCTGAAGGAGCGGATAAATACCGTAAAGACAGTACATTCCGTCGCTAAYACGACATTCTTTTTCATTGATTTTCTCCGTGAATGACGGTATTCAAATATTCCCTCGTACAACTCTCGGATGCTGCACTCATGGAATGGAAAAAAATCGTCGTTACTGGTTTCAGGGAGGTGCCCCCGAGATGGTGGCTCGCAAATTAAATCGCATGATTGCCGAACATCCAACTTTGTTGAGAAATAAGTCGAGTGGCCTTCACAGACCCCTGCTGGTTGTTCTTGATCGCAACACCGATCTGATTACTCCAATCCAGCACACATCGACGTACCAGGCTTTGATTGATGACATGCTGAAACACAAGGCCAACAGAGTGGAATTCGACGTCAYAACCGATACTATGGCAAAACGCCCCAAGACAGTTCAAAAGAAGTTTGATTTGGATCCCGATCAAGAYCCGTTCTACAGTCGCCACAAATTCCACCCGTTTCCGGAGGCTATTGAAAGTAACGGAGTAGATCTGCAAGAAGTGACCGCTAAAGAACAATCCATCCGCAGCAAGGCTACAGGAAATGAAATACCGGACCCATCGTCCTCTGCAAGCGATCTGGCCACTGCTGTCGATTCCCTGCCAGCACTTTTGGAGCGCAAGAAGCAGCTCGAGGTTCACACCAGTATTTTGCAGGCCGTAATGAACCAAGTGGCAGCACGAGATGTCCCGCAATTCTTTGAACTAGAGACATCCTTGGCAACGGGCTCTTACAAAAACGACCCAAACCGTGCCAAAAACGAAGTTATGGAGCTAGTAGCAGATCCGAGTAAGGGAAATATCGATGATAAATTGCGATTAATCGTCGTTTACGTGTTGACGACCAATGCGAAGACCACAGATGTCGACGAGGTAGCAGCTGCACTCCAACAAGCCATGGAGGGGGCAGGAGATGACGGCAAACCTCGACTCGACAAAGCAGGAAAGATTCGACTAGAGATGGGTACAAAGGCACTTGCCTACTTGAAACAACTCAGGTCTATGAATATGTTGCCCTTGTCGTCAGCTTTGCAGGAAATCGACGCCAGTTCCGATGCTGCTGGGTCGAGCGTCTTTTCCAGTGTCTTCAATAAGGCCACATCACAGGCTACTGGYCTATTGGCGAAGGCGGCCGACAAGGTTTCTTCCATGCTGGGTCAAAACCACAAGCACTACGCTACCCAGGTCGTAGAAAATTTGTGTGAGATGAAACCGGGGACGGAGGACGATGACTTTTTGTATTTGGATCCAAGAGTCAAGGGCGACGTTGACGTCCAAAAGCTCCGCACCATGAGTCGATCTCCAGTGCACGAGACCACGGCGTTTGTCATCGGTGGTGGATGTTACTCGGAATACCAAAACTTACAACTTGTTGCCAATGAACGAAGGACKGTAAGTTACGGAAGCACGGAGCTCTTAGACGCCGGTGAATTCTTGACGCAACTAGGAAAGCTCGGATAGAATTACTTAGTAAAGAATTCAAAAATTGCATCGCATACTCTATAAAACAGTTTGGCTGTTCGATTATGTTTTAGTTGAATTGGTTTCTTGATGAGCGGCGAAACCTTGCGAAAAAATTCGGACTATCCACAACATTAAAGAAACATGCGATGTTCYGAATCATCTCACCACGACCTTCGTTTTGTCGGGGAGGCTCGTTCGTTTCTTTTTCGTTGGTTGCGAAGGATCACACTGATCGCTCGACGTGCTGTTGGCATGCTTGCATTCCTGCCTGTTGTTGCTGTTGCTCCCAGACCCTTGCCTTATTGCTTCCAACGACAGTGTCTGATCCACAAGGGACTTGCAGTCGAAACCAACGTCGTTCGTCRCCGGAAGCAGCAGGTTCCCATCGGTCACCCTCGTCCCGGCAACAAATGCAACAAAGTCTTTTCGTTTCATTAGAGTTGATCCTAAATCTCGCTTGTACTCCATATCCATCCCGAGATCCCAAAGCTTAAATCCCAGTTGCGACAGCAAGCGCCCTGTGCTTATCAGCTGCACCGATCCGGCACTGTCCTGGGCAGAAAAGCCCGTGAGGCTGGTGTATATACTTCCGACAGTGTATCCCAGTTCCCCTGCCGCCAATTCCCCTGTCGCGTCGTTCCAAACCTCAATGGAATACAAACGGACGGGCGCTGTYTCTTGTTTTTTCCCGTGWATTATAACGGTGTCCACACGACCAGCATCGTGGATGTCCTTGAGGACTTTTACCAGATCGGGGTAAAGCCAACAGGAACGGCCATGCTGTTGGCGGCATCCCTCGACCACACGATCGATGTCTTYATTGACCGTCAGCCGAAACCGCTTCGATTTCTTTCGGATCGACTTCGATACGTGCAGTCCCTCCGGAAGAGGTATCACAGATCGCTCGTGGTGTAGCTTCGGCAGAATGACGCCCTCCGTCGCAATGGGCAAGAAGCCCTCCATCATGAGGGCGGCAACCAATCGAAAATGGTAGAGGTGGGTATAGCAAAATTCGTCGTGGTACGGGGCCACGAAGCGTCGTAGATAATACGGGATCCATCTTTCAATCGGGTCCACCTCCTGCTCTCTGCATTGGTCGTGTCCATCCTCGAYCTCTTCGTCGCTGGTCATCGTCGGTCTTTGTTTCAACACAATAAGAATTAGCCTCTTTGTGCCCGTCCCATATCGATACAGTTACCGTTATCGGAGGTTCTTACAGTAGTAGTGTTCAGTGTTACATTCGGAATGAGTCAAACGACGAAACGAAGTTTCACTATCTACTCGTGATTTAGGCTCACAGTCTTTACTTCATCTGATTTCAAAGGCATCTTTGGGGGAGATGAAAGGGGTCACTTTGATTTGATTGACCTTCCCGATTGACCTTCCCGATGATGATTCATTCATTCATTCCCGGTTGAAGTGGTGAACACCTACGTTTTCGAAGAACGAGTGGAACCCTATTGCGGTACGGTATTTTTTTCGAGAACCAGCCGCGTGTGAAGTACAGTACGAAACAAAAAACGGTAACGTAGGTTCTTGGTGGAATCTCTTTCACCACGCCGCCTTGTACCGTACTGTATCCCAATTAGTGTAGAAGGTCGACGACGAACACACCCTGTGCTACCGATTAAATATTGAATCCGTAGAAACAAACCATCGAAGAAGAAATCCCGGATACCAAACATCGAACACACAGCAGAATGAAGCTCTCTATTGCTCTTTCCCTCCTCCTTTCGGCGGCTCCCRCAACGGTTGCCTTCGCCCCGGTTTCTTCGACGGCACCTTCCTCCACGAAGCTGAATGTTTTCTCGGGAAGTGCCGGTACCGGTGATGGATGGATCGAACCCTCGGCCCCTGTGAATTCTGAGGAATCCCTCAAACTCACCCTCGAGAAATCCCTTGAGGGTTCGAGCTTCCAGAAACRTCTTTCTCTCCTTGGATCGACGGGATCCATTGGTACCCAGACGCTGGATATCGTCGATGCGTGCCMCGACAACTTCGTYGTAGATGCCTTGTCGGCCGGAACCAACTCGAAGCTCTTGACAGACCAGGTCCTCAAGTACACCCCAAAGATTGTTTCAATGGCCACGGAGAAAGCCGCAAAAGAGCTCAAATCCAACCTCGAAGATGCTGGCATGAAAAACATGCCTACCATCATGCACGGCGAAGAAGGTATTCTTGCCGCTGCCACCATTGATACCGCTGACACGGTTGTCACCGGTATTGTCGGTTCCGCTGGATTGCTTCCCACCATCGAGGCCATCAAGCTGAAGAAGGATATTGCTCTCGCCAACAAGGAGACGCTCATCAGCGGTGGACCCGTTATCAACCCGCTCGTCAAAGAACACGGCATCAACATGTTGCCCGCTGACAGCGAACACAGCGCCATCTTTCAGTGCCTRCAGGGCGTTCCCGAGGGCGGCCTGCGACGTGTCATCTTGACCGCATCCGGTGGTGCCTTCCGTGATTTCTCGAAGGAGGAGCTCTTCAACATGTGCCGGGACGACCCCCGTGCCGTACAGGCCAAGGCCACTACCCACCCTAACTGGGACATGGGTGCCAAGATCACCCTCGACAGTGCCACCATGATGAACAAAGGGCTTGAGGTAAGCACGGTTCATTTTTCAGAATCGATGCGTCATTAGTTCGCTCTGTTCGATGCAGGGTCTCCTTTTGGGAATCATATCTCACCTTTTCTCTTTCTTCGACAATCGTTGTCTTCGCTTGGACCTCTTTTTTGACAAAAAGGTTATCGAAGCTCACTACTTGTTTGGAGCTAGYTACGACGATATCGATGTTGTTATCCACCCCCAATCCATCGTTCACTCGATGGTCGAGACCAAGGATACTTCTTGCATCGCGCAACTGGGATGGGCAGACATGCGTCTTCCGTTGGTCTACTCGGTCTCGTGGCCCCACAGATTGGAGATGCCTTACAAGCCTTTGGACTTGGCCGAGGTTTCTCAGATGACCTTCCAAAAACCTGATCACGACAAATACCCATGCATTGCCTTGGCGTACGAGGCCGGTCGAGCCGGGGGTACAATGACGGCCGTACTCAACGCTGCCAACGAGGCAGCCAATGAAATATTTAGAAAGGACGTCGGCCTCGGATTTTTGGACATTCCCAAACTCATCGAAAGCGCTATGGAGGCGCACAAGGACGACCACAAGGTCAACGACGTAACATTAGACGACATTTTGTCGTGTGACGAATGGGCACGCGAATTTGTCATGGAGAAAAGTGAGACTATGAAAACAGAATTGCTTCTTCCGCGCTAAATACTTTTTAACCGAGTTCCACAGCGCTCAGCATAATTATCTTTTACTGTCGTATTATCTTGTACTCCCTTGATTGATTGTAGGCAAATCGATGAGAACGGGTCGAATTATCGGTGATGTCGGTACCAACCCRAACAAGGAACCTATTTTCCTSACAGATTTGAATGAGTTATAGAACGACTCCAGGTGCAACTTGCTCGCATGCACACTCAGTCTAGCACAAGTATAGACAAATATTAGGAGTTGGAGAGYATTTAGACTCCCACCTGAAATAATMAACATCRTATCAAAGATCGTTTATCCAATACATGTAGTCTAGGATTAAATTAAGTCAAATAATAAATTATACTTKAACCAGCGACAAGATTGCAGCTTGAAGAAAAGCGTGGTATCCAAGGATMAAAAATGRAATGCAATTCAATGCATGAACGAACGGGCAGGTTCTTCAACTTAACCCGTCAAAGGTATTTCTAGTGACTTCGTCACTTTTCGTGTCACGGGACTGTAAGAGGCTTGTCGCATGTGATCGCCCCAAATCGGTGACATGGTCACTTGAACATTTTCGCCGTTTTCACCTGTCTTTAGTTCCTTAATGCCCTCGATCGACACAATTTTTCTTTCGGTTACCGACGAGTTCGAACCGTCGTGGACCGGAGCTAGGTTGTGAGAGGATTCTTGCCATCCTCCGCCTCGGGCGGGGGTGAATTTGATCACTGTATGCATTGGCACCTCGATCTGCATGGCTTCTTCCACCGGTGACTTCCGCAAGTARGCAATGAGCATTTGCAACACCGATACGTGACTAACAACAAGCGTTGGAATCACTTGTTGCTCAAGGTCGACCACCACCGACTCAAGGCGCTGAATCAAATCCTTGTAGGATTCGCCCCCAGGAAATCTTTCAACGAGTTGTAATAGTGTATGATATGTTAGAAACATGTATACGTATAACAATTAGAGCTTAGCCTTTGTTTTCAAGAAACATTGTCGTACCTTGTGTGGAAAGGATCTTTTTCTAAACGGCCGTACCATTCAGGATGCGTGTTTTGAATTTCAAGTAGCTCTTTCCCAGCAAAGTCACCCTTGTCCATTCTTTGAGTAGATTTAAATCAATCAAAAGACGACGCGTTTAGAAAATGCAGCATATATGAATCCACTCAGAGCTAAATGCTCGTTTTATGTGGATCAAAGTGGCAGTACTTACGGGTTCAACGTCGAGAGTTCGTTAACTGGGAAATCATAATCCATCCACGTCACTGTTTCGCTCGCTCTCGGCATCGTACTCGAATAGATTTTCAAGGGAAAAGGGGTTCCAGAATCGACGTGGTTGGGATACGCATTAGCCACTCCACTTATCGATGTTCCAGTGTTCGACATGTCACATACCGACGCTCGTCTCAGCAAAAAGTCCATCGATTCCTCTGCTACAAAATCGTACAAGGCTTCTGAGAATTTTTTGCCGTGGGGACCCAAACTGTCTCCTCGTAAGAGTCTTTTCTGCGTATGATTGGAAAGATTCAGAAAATCTTGGGACCCAATGTGCATGCTGATAGCTGTTACGTAGTCATCTCGATCTGTAAAGACATCTGATAGGGTTTGCCCCGGACGGCACAASAAAATCGGTCTCGTCCCGATATTCCAAGCCATCAAAGCGGGAACAATCACCTTTGACATGCGGCCATAAATATGGTTYACCAACAATTTGGTGGACAARTTAAAAATTTTGATATACGAAAGCGAGTCATCTGTTATGGTCTCGTATTGTTCTTCATACTTTTTGACACGYTTCTTCAGATCCGCCATYGCTTCTTTTTTGTCCATGCCTTGGTAATCTGGAGAGTTTGAGATTTTAAATTTAAAGTTTTCTTGCARGAGCTCCTCGTCGTCACAAATAGACTCCACGAAGACAACCCCCGTAGGCTTTCCTGGTCGCTTCTGAGGGTTTGTACACTCTTCTAAAATCCACCTCCTYCTCTTGTCCGTACTATTCGTAGCATCAAAAATGGCTATTCGATCTCTCTGTTCCACATACGATGAATTCGAATTTCTCGAGTTTACACTGCGCGAACAACTCTGCTGCTTTGTTTCGGCATCACTGTCTGCTTCGTCCTCTCCGTCYATCCATCGAAGCATATCACGCAGGGCCAACTCGGCCACTTCCTCTCGAAGTGCCGCGGCCCCCTTGTTTTCAGCTGAGAAAAAGTTTGCATCGCAGGCTCCACCTGATGCCTTTCGTCGATACCGTCCTACATTAAATATCTTACAATAACTYCCGTGCCATTCCAAAAAGTTGACTAGTTTCCGCGCAACGAAYGATTTTCCTCGTGCAGGCAACCCGACGAGGACAATTACGAGCCGGTCGGAATTTTTCGTTAATTTTCTTCTCTGTTGTTATGCGATTAGAAAGAAAAACATAYGATGAGGCGGCGCTCGACGGAGATTTTCCCGTCGTATGTAAGAAATATTGTTATGTAAACTCACTGCTTCCAAGCGATTGATTACCAACGCTGTGTCTGTAGACGCTTCGTTACTACCAGAATTATAGTAATCGTTCTTTGGCACTGCTGAATCAGACATGTTCAACTTGGTTGCTTCGCTTCGCATCAACTGCCTTTCTCAGTTCGCAAATTCCTTSACCTTTTGGTCCAGTTTATATATCGTCATGGAGTTTCTCCTCTATCTCCCGTKTTATTCCTCTCTCTAAGTAGTAAGGTGCGTGTTGTCCAAATTACAAGAGATAGAATCTTCTTCAGATTTATATTTGTTCTAACGATTTCCGGGTGATGACACCTGTAGTGATTTTCAAGGGTACGAGAACGAAATTTCAAATTTGCATGGAGGCAGATGATTGATGGCCAAATTCCGGTATTCTGATAGGATAATGTTCAAGGATACCGGYACTCTGCTTCAGACAAGAGTTGAAATACGGTGCACTAAGGAAGTTCGTGAGGAAATGCCGTAATTACGAGTTCTGGAAGTGAGAACCGAAACAATCGACGGACGCGTGGATTTTTCCAGTTTTCCAGTTCATAGCCTAAGTACTGTAATGTAATGTACGGTATGGTAAGTACGTACGTTACGAGTGAAGAACATACATCACAAAAACAGTATGTGAGGTACTGTACTGTAAGGCTTTGAAACCGGTCTTCCAGCGCCTAGAGATGTGACTGACTCACCGTCATTTTCTATTGGTCACGCGWTTTGTACTTCAGGGCAATCATGCCCTATGCCTTCATGGAGAGACTGGCATCGTTCTCTGAAAAACTGATGACCGGCCTAAKAGGATTGCTACGAAGTACGTACGTAGTACATAACGTCTTTACTCAAACCATTTTGACGACTGACGGACGGTCGATGAAACAGTTAGGTAAATAACGATGTTCTCCACCAAGTAGAAGTACTTCGTATGGTGTACGGTACCATGCACCGTACTCCCCAGCCTTGGCGGAAAATAGTATCTCCAACTCTAATAGACTTTCCGAWCCTCGTCGAGGGAGGGACGGACGCTCATGGCAAAGAAAGTATCATTCATTCATTGCGCATTCATCACAACATCGTGATTCCCATGCTTTTTGTTTTTTCACATCAGTACCGGTACGATCAGTCAGTCTCATGAGGCGGAAGAAGATGATGAAAAAAGAAACCGATCGGAAACGCGACACCTACGGTATGTTTTGAGAAACTTATCTAGCTCACCATTCTACTTCCTATTGCGCCGAAAAGAATCAATGGCAGCAAACTAACATTGGTGACTAAGTTTTGAGCATCAGAGAATCAAATTATTGAGTCCCTGCTTATTKATAACAATCTCAGCGACGACGCAAAATTTCTGTAATGAAGAGACAATATCCAGGAAATGCAAACGGTCAACGATGCGATCCCCGTTTTTCAGGAGCCCGGGGACGTGGACGTGGCCCAATGAACCYAACTCCAGCTTTTGGTCCAGGAAGGGGTGGACCTTTTCGGGGCGGTGGATTTCCACCTATGAATGGAGGTCGAGGCGGTGGCCCCGTGAATAATTTCCCACCAGGCGGCAGAGGTCCCCCCGGAAAGTTTTTTGGAAGAGGGATGGGTCARCAGCAACAACCTTATCACAGAARTCAAATGCACCCTCCACCACCATCTCAACAACATCTAAGCCACGGCAACCATGGCCAACCTGGACCGCCGCCACACAGAGGGGGACCTCCTTCTGGAATGATGGGAAGAGGACGAATAAATATGGGACAGAATTCATTCATTGGTGGAAGGGGAAGAGGCCGAAATAATATGCCTGGGAGAAATCCGTTTGCTGGAAGAGGAGGTATGCAACAGCAAAGGGGACCTCCGCCACCCTTCAGAGGAGGTGGACCTCCTCCACCACCACCACGGCCTCGTCTCCCACACCCATCGACTATGAACGGTAATTCYCAACCTTATCAGCAACAAATGCAAGCGCAATCTCCGTCGTACGGGAATCCGTCAGSACTCTCAGGAATCAATCAACGACARCCGCAGACATATCAACAACAACCGTCGCAACAACCTGGTCCTCCAGCCGCACCGCCTTATCAACAAGTACAAACGCACCACCCACAGCAGTCCCTGTCTCCAAACAATAACAGCTTCACTGGTTACCAGCAAGTCACAAATCCTGCTCATGTACCACAAAACCAGCTACCACTCCAAGCAGCTGGTACCGGCTCATACCAAAACATATTGACACAACCAACGACTTCAATTGTTACTCCGTCTAGCAACACAGCCAACAGKTCCACTGGAAATCCTTCTGCGCAACACATCAATGAAGGTTGGAAAGAATATACAGCGCCCAATGGCGTCAAGTATTACTACAATGACGTGTCGAAAGAGAGTACWTATGTAAAGCCCGAGGCTCTAAAGATGTTAGAGCAAACCAATCGCACCAGTTCTACGGAATCTTCCACAGCATCTTCCTCCACGAAACGCACTTGGCACGAACACGAAGACGCGACGACGGGAAAAAAATATTATTCGGATGGAGTATCCACTACTTGGGAAAAGCCARAAGGATTCGTATCGCCCGAGACCATCGTTGCGAATACATCCTCTGGTTCGAAACGAGAGGAACACAATCTTCACGATGCGCCTGCAACAAAGAAAAGGAAGCAATCATCCAATGCAGTAGCTTCTTCCAATACTAGCAGTGACTACAATTCATKTGCCTTTTCTAACAAAAARGAAGCTATTGCAGCCTTCAAGGGGGTTTTGTTAGAGAAAGGGATATCTCCTACTTTTAAATGGAATGAAGTTTTGAAGGTTTGTGAAGCTGACTCTCGATGGGATTCTTTTGAAAATATACTTTCAATGGGAGAAAGACGSCAAGCACTAGCTGAGTATCAAACGAAACGAACTAACGAATTGCGAAACGAACAACGTCAAGAACGAATTCGTGCAAATAAAGCTTTTGGGGAGTTGCTTGCAGATATTTTGCCATCAGTACCAGGATTTTCAGCGCGTACTTCTAGATTTACAGATATCAAGGACGCCTTGGCTAAAGATGATAGRTTCTTTGCTATCGAAGATGACTCTACGCGTGAGTCTTTATTTTTTGACTTTTGTGATGACTTCAAGAAGCGAGACGAAAGGAACAAGCGAAACAAGAGGAGGGAAATACAAAAATCGTTTGTCTCGTTTCTACAAGAAAAAGAAGGAAAAGGTACTCTTTCGTACAATTCGACATGGGAATCATTTTTGCCAACTCTTTTCGAAGAGGAAAAATTGGATTCCCGTTTTGYAACATCTCATGAACTCACTGACTCGGACCGGAGGCTCTATTTTGCTGATTTTATTGCTGAGTTAAAGAAGGCGGAAGACGAGAAACGACGAAGAATTCAAGATGAACGCCGACGAGCTGAAAAGGCTCAGCGTGACAAATACCGTGAACTACTCCGTGAACTTGCTGTGCAAGGAAAAATCTTACCCTATTCGCGTTGGAGAGAAATCGAAGAATTCATAGCGCAAGATGATTCCTTTCAACAGGTTGAAGAGCAAGATCGCAGTGCTCCTCGCGAACTGTTTGAAATATTTGTCGACAATTGGGACTCAATTTATCGCCTAGAACGATCATTTTTGCTTCAATTACTTCGTCCTCCTGGGAAGCCTGATATTGTGATATCAGCGGGGATTGGCTTTGACCTTTTCAAAAAAATCCTGATAGAAGAGGCAGCGTATTCATCCGAAATCCAAGATGAGACCTCTCGTATTATTAATAGGAAAGATTATGTCTCCAGTGCACAAGTACTATAYAATGAACTCACTGCTCAAAAGTCAAGAGACCTAAGACAAGGAAGTTCACGACGAGGCTCCACCAACGATGATTCAAGTGAAGATGAAGGCGAGATCATTGAAGAGGGAGAAATTACGGAYAATAATGAACAAAGTGGCGATAATGATAACAAACCTGAATAAAATGATCACAAACAAACCCATTCAATTCTGTCTATKWTTTGTGAACAATTGTGTACGATTGCATATAATCTAGTATCTGTGGAAGAATATATCCCGACAAACAAACTAAGTTGTATTCCATGTTTCACTTTGCTTGTCTGAATCTGGTTCGCTGCAAGAGAGGAGAGAACCCGAGAGGCATTGCTGCTTTTTAATTTGTGTCAGTTACCGTGAAATACTCAATGGATTGTGATGGAACCACTTCCTTCTCAAGCTGCCTGCATCTGATGAGAATTCTGAACAAACTTCCTCTTTGTACAACAAGGAATGTTGGTTTGGGAGAAACTTATTATTTGTTGGATTTTCAACGACAGCTAGAGCAGGGCACAGAAAGGTCTGAACACAACAGCAAGTTGCCCGATAATCTTATATTGAGCTCATGTCACCAGCAAAAGCAGTGCTGTCAGTACTGCAGTAGGRTATGCATATTTTGGAACATACTGTAAGCAGTAGTAGTATTAGTACTGKAGTCGTACGAGTACTCGGAAAGAAATTCCAAGATTTAAATTCAAGTSTGTAGCATGYGCGTTAGAGTATGAAAATCTCATGACTCGGTCGTGTGTGACTCGACAAGGTAAGTTCACGTACCGTAGCGTAGGCAAACTCGAAAGAGCAACGTTGAAACCCATGACATCACTTTTTCTGAGATTTCCTTTTTGGTTTTTGCGCACGTTATGATTTCCGGGTTACGTTTCGATTTAAAGTAAGGGCGCCATCGATCCCCGATTCCCGGTACAGTATGATTCCCCGCAGCTTGCTTCTTTATTTCGATTWTTGGAAGAGGGGGAAAACGAGGAACCAGATACAGYAGAGAATAATTTTCATTTTCATCCTCAACATCCTACGAGTACAAGTACGAGTACACTCGGTAGGAATACTACGGGTACTACTCATCACCTTCACTTTGATAGTCAGCCCACGTATTCACACAACAAASGTTGCGTAMCGSTACATMCTCTGYGTTTTTGTAATTAGGTTTCACTMATCCTGGGATTTGATSAGGTTCCAGACGCACTTGAAAGCTACAAGAACAGCAGAATAAAATAGGCGGCAAACACCACGCAAATCAGTTGGATTAGGAGCTTCCTTTCACCACTCGAAATTTATCGCTGAGTGGACGGTGGCTCTTAACGACATTTCTAGMCTGCATTGGGTATTATTGTCTTTGAACAATCGTCCGGGGGGGAAACCAGATTGACTTAGAATACAATAGAAATCAGCTCCGCAACTATTTCACAACCCTGATTGAAACTRCRAGCAACACCATGTCGACGGATCAAACATTTCGAACTACGGCGGACGTTGGAACGGAAGAGCCCATTGAGGCAATCGCGTCTACAAGAAACTTTCAGGACGAAGTTCGCCAGTGGTTCACAGCAATGGCTCCCGCGGAACGCTCTGCTGCGCTTGGATTYGAAGACGATGGCCGCATGATGGCGACTCTGTTCGCCAAGGTTGCAGCAGGTGGGGTACCATCCTGCCACCCGACATCAAACAAAAACGACGGCAACAACGGTCGTCGGGGGCAAACAACCTCCGGCAATATTTTCCAACAACATCCCCCCAATACTTTGTTTCCCCCAAAACAGACGGCAGACAGACTTGATTTCAACGGTAAGTAAATAATCGCGCGAATGTTCAAAATTTTACGTGGCTTCGAACGTAACGCAGTCACTGGTCGTMAGGAGAATCATCATCTTCCTTAAGGTCTTCGATCAAACTTCCCCGGCATCAGCTTGCAGATGGTTGGTTTTGTGGCCGCGAGATCTCCAAAACGGATTTTCTCCATCCTTTAGCGTTGAGTGTTACAGTACCTGCTTATCCACCAGATTTCGATTGTGTACCCTTTAGACGGTCCACTGATCGCTGATGCAGTGGGCGTTGAAAACATTGCATAATCGAGACTTCTCAAGAACACCCTCTACTAGTGCTTGCCGTCCAAGAGTTTCCTTGTACAAAGCAGACAGGAAATTCCATTTCAAGTCCACGGACTTCGCTTCGCCGTTATTGAATACAAGACTAACAAAACATCGTTGCAACGCTCTTTACTGTTACATTTCCACCAATCAATATGCCTCAAAAAGAAACTTGTGACTGGGAAGCAAGAATTGCGCTTGAGATCATCGAAAAAACGTGGGAAGAAATCATGATGGTGGGAGAGCCAAATACGTCGGGAGTCAATAAAAAAGAGTTTGTGAAAAACTCTTTCGCAAGAGATGAAGACGCAAAACGCCAAGTGTCTAGAAGCGAAAGCACCACGGACACAAAGGATGCTATCAGTGCCGTTGAACGGGGGACATCRGAAGAAACCAACACWGAAAATAAAACTCGCAATAATGAAAAAAGAATAGAGGATGATGCAAAAAACATRAAGTTTGTTTCTGATGCTTATCGRATACCAAACGAGGGCGTTTGTGTGAAGGAAAAAGCCACGTCCGTTGACGCAATTGAAGCTCATAAAGAAGCAGCCGCATCTATTGTTGAAAAATCTTGCGAAGATGGGAAAGAGGACGAAAAGGGAAAATTGGAAACTAAAGAAAAGGATGATGCTTTTCTGGGGACAATCGATGAGAGTGGTAATGAATATGAGCCTAMTGCAGGGATTGCAGCTGCGCTGATTACAACATCATCACCACTACCTGCTATAGATGGGATCGACGGGGATCTRCAATATCTTTCTGACAGCAACAACAGCAGAAGGATTGCTGAGGTCATGGACAATACACGCTGTATCTTTCCAGAGGCTTCTGAAATTGCAGCTGCKACTACAACTGGGAATAACACTACATCACACGAGCTACGACCACACAACCAACTAGACGATCAACGAAAACGAAAAGAAACATTCATAACGATAAATCCATTCTATCTCAATTCTGTCAGTGGCGACGAGCTYCTCGTCGYATTCGACGAGATAATGGCGATGGCGTGCAGAGACCCATCATCGGACGACCCCTGTTCATTTATTCTTCCAGAGGAAACAACTTCTGCTTCCTGGTTGGATCTCGTTCGTTCTTATGCATCTACAGACACAAGTGGATCTTCCTCTACAAGATCTATACCTTTGTACATGTTGTTGGTGTGCCATTTCCAGTTCAACCTTGCGAAGACATATTCAGAGCGGAGCTTATCATCAAGTGACAGCACCGATAGKGTTGACGTAGACCATCAAAGCTCTCACAAATCTAGAGCAGCCTGGTTGTCGGCATTGATGACCAGAATTCGTGAACTTGAAAGCGGGGAATCAATCGAGAAGGAAAAAATTCGGTCAAAGCTTGCTTCAATTTTACCCAGATTCCCAWGCAACGATAGCTCTGATAACGACAATGGTAACTTGGAAAACTACTTGCTGCGTCCATTTTCAGTCCTGACTGAGTATCAAGAAAATAAACCCACAGAGTCTTCGGAACAGGATCATGCCTCTCAAGAAATTAATCMTTCAATAGAAGACGTTTCAGACGGTAAGGTTGCGAGGATGGAAGACGTTTCTGTTACGAATGCCGATAATCCTCAAGACGGAGATGCCTTKAGTAATGATGATCCTACATTASCACGTGAAAMCGAAAGTCAGACCACCGTTATCAATAATTCATATAACTCTTCCAGTGGTGTTAAAAAAGGAAAGAAGAAGAAGAAGAAAAAGGTAAGTGTAATGTATGACGAAAGCGTTWCGTTTTGGTGATGGTACACAAATTTTGCTAACTTTCTTTGTCTTTCGGATTTCACAGAAGAGAAGAGGTGGTGGCTCTACCGGCACATCTACGAAGCCGCAGATCGCCGAAAAAGTCATTGAAACCGAAGCCAATCAGAAGAGTGTAACCGAGGATCAGATTGTGGAACAAGTATTAGAATCATTAGTGGAACCTGTGATAGTCGTGGATTCAGCACTGGAACAGGAAACAAAAAAGGAAGTCGACATAGAGAAAACAGATGAACAYGAGGTTGACCCCACTTTGAAGAATGTCTTTGAAAATGAAGAGGCGCATGCCATRGAGGATGCTATAGAATCCCATTCTTCTTTGGTCAAGACTACTGCTAGTCAAGATGAAGATAATGCAACAGTAACTTTATTMAATGCGGACGAAGAAGAGACGATCAGTGCGTCTCGCGATAAGTCGGAGAGCGAAGCTGGGGATGAGATCGATTTGCTCAAGACGGATGATTCTGTAAGTATTGTTCCTGAACAAYCGAAGTTTCCAACGAATGACTTCAAAGCGCCACAAAACGAAGACCCCAAAGAAGCCCAAAATACAAATATTGATGACCAGGAAGACCAGTGGGAAACGGTGGAAGTAAGACCGAGAGGAAGGAAAAAGGCAAKCGATAAGGCTAATAGTACACGCATTGGTTCACAAAGCAACACTTCTACAAATACCAAGAAAAAAGCCCCCCGAACAAAGGAAGCCAGRGCCAGGATCAAGACTCGGAAGATGGTGAGAGAGATCATTGGGGGTATTTTGGATTCGGTTGAAGACGATTTACGTCGGAGGCGCAATGCTAGCCGAGAACATGCGCATCTTCAAAGAATCAAAGCAACTTCTTCTGGCAGTAACAATGCTCCTGCCCTTCCTATCAAGAAGAGCTCGACCTCAGTGACACAWCAGAAGGYAAACTCGCAAAAGAATACTTTGCGGGACATTCTAGTCAGAGGAAAAYTAAGCAAYCAGAACCATCATGTTAAAAGTACAAGCACAGTGAAATCAGGACCATTACCATATTCAGAGCGGGCAAAATCACTGATGCAATCTGATTCGAACGACGCAAAGAAAAATATTCAGAGAAAAAAGAGTGAGAAATCAAGTCATATAACAGGTTCGAAAACAAACAAGGCATTGAGAGCTGCGCGTGCGTCACCTGCTGATCAGAACACCCTTCCGACCATTGCATCAACAAACTCCGCCTTCACGCCATCTGTAACGAATGTAACGCGACGAAAGCCAGGAACGGCTCAGAGCTCCAACTCGAGTGATAGCGAGAGTGCTGAATCTAAAAAACCGAAGAAAACACCATCGGATCCATCTAAGTATGTTTCTCYTCCACCACCGTTGCCTACTTTGCTGAGTCCAGGGAATAACAACAGTACATCATCATCAGTCGCATCCAGTCTCGATGCTCCTCATGCAGGACACCATGGAAACAAATCACATCAGTCTGAAAATGATGTTGGTTGCCATTTGCTCAGTGTATGTGACCGACTATCACGCGAAATTGATGTTTTCATGAAACGACGAGAGACCGCTTTARCAGTACGAAGGCATGAAAGAGGTTTGGTTTTGGCAGCACTYGAAAAAACTTTAGGTCTCATTTGGCCCGGCAACCCTACTGTTGAAATGTATGGTAGTTGTGCCACGAACCTAGACCTTCCTTCTTCCGACCTTGATGTCGTTGTTTGCGGATTAGATAGGCCATACGTTGAATCTATTCAGAGTCCAACAAATTCKTCCTCTATTGCATCTAACTCCCCAGGTAATGCAAGCCGTACAGACGATGACAACAACCGAGAAGATGAATCTACAAAGGCAGAAAGTCACAAAGATGTAYCCGCATATACTCCAGAACAAAGATTTTCACAACATCAAATGACTTCTTATCAAATGCAAATGATGTATGGGCACATGAGCCTAAATGCTGAACGTGTGCTTCGCTTAGCGATGGAACTAGAACACCAACCATGGGCGGTTCACGTGAAGGCGATTCCGACTGCTAGTGTCCCTGTCATAAAGATATTAGCTGACCCGGCAAGGCTCCAAGGTGCAATCATGAATGGCAACGCAGACTGGCTAGTACAGCAGCCAATACATGGGCAATCACCTCAACCCATATCTCCRAATAGTCGTGTGGAAAATTCAGAGGTTCTTCATGGAAATCAGAAACATATGTCCCACTACTCAAGTCAGCAATCATCTCCTCTTTGGCGTGGAGCAGATGTTGTAAATGGACTTTTAAAGGTTGATATCACATTCGAAGGTCCTGAACATGGGGGCATTGGATCAACCRAATTTTCCAAAAAGGTTGTTGATGATTTCGCCAACGAAACTACTCTCCCTGCAGAATGCACCCCCCAAGTGCAAGTGCTTATGGTTCTGAAGGAATTRCTAGCACAAAGGAGGTCAAACGAGCCGTTCTCTGGSGGACTAAGTAGTTATGCACTACTTTTGTTGGTGATCTCGATGATTGGGGAAAGAAAAATTATCCGCGAGGAACTCGAAAAAACAGAGCGGCAGCGAAGAGTAGTTGCATCGGGAGGTGGAAATGCAGCTCCTCAACCAACCAACTTAAATCCGTTTGATGTTGCTGCCARCGATGGTCAGAAACATTACCCAGAAAAGAGCCGAAGCAAAAACRTTGATCCATCGAAGCCTCAAGAAGTGGAAACTAATTATTCACKCGCTGTATCACGGAGACAAGAGAGTACGGCAAGAACCAAGGTGAATCCAAAGGAACAACTAGAAACCASAGCGTGGAAGGAGAAACCTGCTAATATAGAACAAGCCAAGCCACTAAAGAAAGCCGGAGCAGCAGTGGCTCCTAATTCAGCAYCAAAATCCTCKGCTCCGTCGTCTTGGGCAACCATAGCACGGAGCAAAGCGAGCTCTTCTAGTCTAGCTTCACCGGAGAAAAAACAAGAAGACCCAGGGAAGACCTCGGAATCAAAGCCCGAATCGAGTGGTACCATGCCGAATGCTAAAGACCAGAAAGTACCAAAGAAACCAAGCAGTTTTGCTGACGCTGTTGCCAAGGGAAAATCATTTGCAGTTGCAACTAAAAAGATTCCGGCTGTCAAAAAGAACGAAGGAAAGAAACGATTTGATGGACTTCTTGACCCACCGACATCGAAGTTGACGAAACCGAAAGTAGAAAAAGAAGATGAWACATCGACAAAGCCTCAACAGGTGAATTTCGAACAAGCTAAGATCCGCAAGAGTGTTTCTTGCGCTACTACGAAGCAGCAGAAGGACCCTCTCTTCGCTTCACCGGATGCTAATCCTAACAGCTCTCCAGACTCATCGGGATTCCCACAGGGCTTTCATGATGTAATCGAAGTACTGTGTTCAGGCGAGACGACTCCCGGGAAGTTGTTGATGCATTTCTTGTTATTTTACGGACAACACTTCGAGTCCCAGTCCACAGCTATTGACTACTCGAAAACTCACCAAAGAGATCCCGCCGATAACAACGGGTACTCAGTTCGATCAAACTACATGTTGCGTCGAAATGCGGGTTCATATGATCCTGTGACCGGCATGTATACTGTAGACCCTATTGTTGTGTACGATCCGTTGGAGGGTGCAGAAAACAATAATGTTGCACGTAGTTGTTTCGCATGGAGCAGTATTCGATGGGTATTTGCTCAGTCCTATATGACTTTATCGAGCGCTGCGGAACAGAATGCAAGTGATGGAAGTAGGGGCCGAGCAACACCTGGTGTGGGCGGAAAAGGTCCAGCTTACGGCCACGATGAATCAGGCAATGTTGTGGTGGACCCTTCATCTCCTCTGTTGGAACTATTGCTTTCATTTTAGAACTGCATTCTGTATACAATAAATTATAAAATTGCTTTTTATGAATAAACAAACTGTTTGTATAYTATGGAAACGAATTAGTGCACCACGGTTTTGTGTGGTGAGTTTCCCCGGGATATAACCGTACAATCAGGAAGAGAGGAAACATGCATGTGGAGTCGAATATTGTGATCGTCATCTTTTTGCTCAACGTTCGCGTCTTTATGCTTCTTCTTCTGAAAATGCAGCTTGTGATAGACAAAGTGTTTCATTTTTTGTATGCAGAGTCAAACATCTAGTAGAARTAMAAAGCATTTTGGATGAAAAAAGACGTTAAAATGACGACGGTGTTGTTCTCATGGTGTGCCATCTTCTCAATATTCGTGGGCAGAAAAAGTATGGACCATGGCATTCAATACAGTAACGATGTCTAACGACTGCATAATTTTTTGTTAAAAATTAGACGCATTGTTGAAGAAATCTGATTGGTGGATACGCTCGATGTACGATTGAAAGCGCGTTGTTTCTATGAATTTCTTCTCTGTGTTCTACTCGTGCATCATTTTCCCTTCAACATAGCATTACGGTAGCGCGACTAGCGACAGAATATGACGGTTYTGGCCATCGAAACCCCATTCCGGATGGTACGATAAGCGAAAGGTGAGAACAAAAATTGAGCGACTTTAATGTTAATGAGAGAGCAAAGGTGTCTACGATATATATTTGAAAGCTATTTCGTGGCTTCTTTCGGAGAGGAGCCACCTAATCAGAATTCGCTTGAAATGGAAATTCAATGCATGCGGGGACCGTTCAGACACGTGAAAAACCCGTGAAGAGAGACATGTTTTTGACACAGCAACAGATGAGACAGCTGTCTACCATCATTGGTTTTAGTCGAACTAGTCAAAACATTGTTGAAGTCGGATCCGACTCTCACATTTTYATCCTCCCCTCCCTCTAACACAAACAAACAATGTCAACTTGGCATCCTTTCGCGATTTCTCGTTAAACTCTGTTTCTATACGCAGCATCGAACAACGAGGAGGAACGGTATCTTTGCACAGCAAAGGAGAGGGAAAGCCGCCCACCCATTCTAAACTYTCTCGGGCTGTGCCGTGGATTCATTAGTGACAGAACAAACYCAAACCAGGCCTACTCATAGTTTGTTGTCATGTCGCCTTCCAACGCCAAGAAATCTCTCGAGGGAAACCCTGCTACGTTCGGGCATATTCAACAACCGTTGCTCAAAGCCGATGTCAGCAATAKTATWWGCAGCAGTGGAAACACCGCCGACGCTGCATATGAAGAAGGAAGACGCAAACCATCGGGAAGCACTGATTCAAACATTCCTTCAAATGTAACGGGGGAGGGAAAGGTCTCGAATTCCGAGGTAGATCRCAGTGTTTCTGAAGCTGGCACCTCAAAGGCGACACTCGGTACGCAATCGAACATCTTGCCAGTTTCCAATACTCCTTCAYTAACTTCGCCTCCCAATGACAGGCAAGAAATTCCTTTAGAATCAAGCGYAATCGAGTCCTCAATACTAGGATTTCCTGAAGTTTTGTCTGTTGCCAACAAATCGGAAGGAGCGATGCCTATCAAACCAAARCCTCCTCTCTCAGTAATCAAAGTGGCCGATGCTGTTGCATCGGAAGGAACCAAAAAATCCCCAACGAACAATTCGTCAACCACAGCTCTTATTCTCCCGACAAAAAGCACAGATCGAACTGTCGGTGSTCCTTCTACAAAAAGCAAGGGAACAGCCCGCCGGCGTGGTAAATGGACAATAGAAGAAGAGGAATACGTCGCAAGAGTGATACAAGACTTCAATTCCGGTTATCTGAATGCACCAGCTGGCTACACTCTCCGAAGCTATTTATCAGACAAGCTCCAATGCGACCCAATGAGGATCACCAAAAAGTTTACTGGTGAATCTTGTATAGGAAAAAGGGTTTTCCACCCTGCTGTGCGGAATGCTACAAATGCAGCAGCCATTGAYAAGGCCCAGGTGCGTTCTATAAAATAATTGTTGCGTCGATTTCCTGCAATRACTGCTAACTCCTTTGTCTCTGTTTCAACTTATTGATTCTTCTCTGGTGAAACAGTCTGAACTTGATGCTCTCGAGAGAAGGTGGCGGCGGCGACTTGAAATGCAACAGCGCGAATCGGCGAAAAAGGCAGCTGCTTCTGCGGCGGCGGCGAACGCTGCAAACAGGGGCGCGGTGACGGTGCAAGGGGTTCCTGTCTCGATGCTAGGTTCCAGCTCACAAAATCCATCCGATAGTCAATTGCAGCAATCGGCAGTGACCCAAGCCGCAACGTGGCTTGACCGAGCCAATGTCATTCTAATGGGAAAATTTGATAACGGAAATCAAACCAATTCTTCTTTTAGAGGAAAAAWTTGTACAGGGACATCGCAACAAGAGAACAACAAGGATGGAAGTACAAGCACCCAAAGCAGTGCGGAAGACTCTTTGGAACATCAAATGAAAGAAGTACAAAGACTCATATACGAAGGACCTATCATACAGCAGACTACTGCCGGTTTGCCAAATGYATTACTTCAAACATCAGCATCGACAAGTACCCCTGTTTACCGAACAACGAACAACAACGCGAACACCACAAATACAATAACAGCTACACTTTCGAACTCCGGCATGGTTGGAACAATATCAAAGCACTCTTCTTCGGCTCATGTATCACCAACACTTGAACCAGCCGATAAACGCATGARGACGAGTATTACCACGGCTCCGGATACTACAGGAGCGGAAGGTGCAGAAGCCCTGCTTGGCTTTCTCAGCAGTGTTCGCGCTTCGGCCGCCGCCGGGCAAGAATTGTAAACCCACTGGGGTGATATAAAATGAATCTGATAGTTCAATCGAAACGAGTCAAAAAATCCGAAAATGCACAACTATGGAACACTGTTTCGATCTTGTAACAATACCACACCACWTCTTCCAATAGATTGTAGCCAAAATGCAAAAAGGGAATCCACACACACGCACATTTCTGAACAATGCGGCACTTAGTTTATTATTCTAATAAATATATTWTAATGCATTTTCTTCACTACGTACGAATAACTCGGATGCTGATGAACCAACATCTCTATTTYTTAATAGTTCTTCTAGAATGCACTCCATGTATTATGAAATGGTGCAGCCAAAGCGCATCCACGGCATTGAAACGCCGTTGCGTCCAAATCCAACTTACCGGTTCGTCCCTGATCTCTACTAATGAGGTGGAACTGAAATCCCCGGTGACGAATGCGGAGCAATGATGACTTTGTCTTTCACACACTTCAGTTTCGCGCCGACCCCAACGACATCGCTTYCGCTTCCACACTGATCCCAGGCGTCCCTGGCCAGAGGCGATACTAGCCATACGATCACAAGCCATTTGATCAGCCAATTTAGCCATTCATCGAGTGGGAATCCGGGAGCATTTCTATCGGCGGCGCTCTTCGGCACCTTTCGTTGCGTGGTCAGYCTCGCCAATTGCGCGTCSGCCGAGGCACTCATTGCGTTGAAACGGATTCCGATCTTGTCCTCGCCCTTCAGTGGAAGATCGTACGGTCGTGCAGCGATGCATGTTACTGGAAAYTCGTGAACGTTTGGAAATTGTTTGGCGACCTTCCACTTGASCAGGTCCCACAGATAGATTGTTCCATCGGCGTTTCCCAGTGCTATTGTGGTGGCATCGGCCGACATGGACATGGCCGATACCGGATGATCCGAACAGGCCGTTCGCTCGAAGCACTGGTATTGATTTTCTTTTTCATCGAGTCCCCACTTGGATAAGAACGCCTTGCCTCGTTTCCCCGACGCAACAGTGTATACYAGCTTGCCTTCCAGATCTCCAAACGCACATCCCCGCACCATTACCGTCTGTATACGTTTTTGTCTGTTTTTGGGTGGTGGCGGTGCCTTGGGATCTACGATGCTGCACTTCAAGACGCTGATGCACTTGTTTCCTTTCCAGACACGGGCGGTCCCGTCCTTAGAGCTGGAGGCGATCAGATCGTTCGACCTTGGCGCAAAGGCAACGGAGCAAATCGGCTTCGTGTGTCCGACATCGGGACCCTCGTCGCAAGTGTAGGAAGGGAGTTCCTTGACGCGGTAGTCCTCAACGATTTCGTGCACTATRATCGATCCGTTTTCGCAGCCCAGTGCGATCGCATTCGCCATGGCATTGACGCCGATCGCGTGAACGGTTGCCCCAACCGACAATTCTTGTTCTAGTTTCGCTTCCGGGAGGGAATAGACGTTGATCTTCGTGCCCAGCGCTAAAAACAAGCTGATTTKTTTCGTGATCGGGTTCTTTGCGATGTTGATGGCCACACCCAGCTGATCACCCGTCTCGACAATGATTGGCTCCTCGTCATTTGTGCCTCCCTGGGGCTGCTGTTGCTCCTGCGATTGGTCATCGTCCGCAATCTCGATGTACAACTTGTTTTTTACGCCCGTCGCGGCACTGCCTCCACCCCCACAATACGCCAAGAWTGAAGTTCCGTCGCCGGGGTCACCGTACCAGTGCATACCGAAAATCGGGATGCCGATGGCATCGTGCCGAGACGGCGGTTTGAGCTTAGGGCCCATGGTGAATCAACCGGARCAGAATCTGTTTGGTGAAAACTGTTATCGAATTTCAGTAAATGAATCTCGACAGAATCGATCGTTGTATTGTGCTATTGTATTGTGCTTCGGTACGTACTCGGGCCCTTCTCAATTTTCGATGTCTTGTTTCTTTCCCACCTCTGTCATGGTCATGAATCCAACCAAAAATACTCGTGCTCAAAATGTTTCTCGCATTTTAAAAACCTACCATACGGTACGCACGGTACGGTTTGTTCAGAAGCATGAAGATGCATACTGTAATCTTTGACTGATTCGACTACTTACGTTCGGCAAGAGAAAATTTTTCAAATATTCTTTTTCGAGAGTTAGTTTTAGTGAGAGTTGTGGTCGAGTACGTTCGTACTCGTAAGGGTACCGTACGTACGTAGGGAGTAGCACGATCATGTACTGGCCGTTGTCGATTCCTACAAGGGCACTGKGTATCCTTTTTCCGTCTGCCGTTAGTGAAAAGGTCCGTGACACTACCGTAGGGCACGACAGGATTGTTGTTCTTRTGACTGAAGACTTTAGCTCCAAAGGTTGACTTGCAAGAGGTACGAGAAAGCTGAGAAACTAATCCACCRAAAGGAAACGAGAATCCTTTCTCGATACCGTAGAATGCCAACCCGCAATCGAAGAGGACGAAGCCCGACCCGCTACACGGATGCGACAAACTCCTACTTGCGAAACCACGACGACGACGATTCGTTCAGCGACTACGAWCCCCTCGACGAAGACGATCAGCGCGAATTGCTGGAGTCTCTAGAACAGGAAGCCGCTGCACAGAGCCGTTTATTTCAGATTGCATTTGGCTATGGCATCGGTGGAACGGCAGTTGTSTTTTCCCTGGTCTTTCCTCTGCTCTGTCCGGAGGAATGCGGTGCCGACACGGAAACGGCGGTTGCCTGCTGGTCCCATTCTTTTTTTTCGTGCATAGTCCACGCCCGCACGGTCTTTCCCTTTGTCAAGCCATTTTCCRCCAACCAACGCCGAAGCACGGCTATCACCGTGCTGGACGCTGCCCTGCAGGTTATACCGGTGCTGCTGTGGTGGGCCGGAGTCGTATCAAGCGACGAGGAGTATTTTCACCTTGCCTTGCTAATTAGCAACTTTGTGACCTTTCTCGGGGCACGCATCATATACTGGGACATGAATGCCACGCAAATCGCACTCGAGAGCCTGGATTCCGCTCGCTACAGGYATAAGTCTCTGTAGCATAACAGCAGTTTTTGCGCAGGGGGGACAAGCACAAGAGAACGTACCATAACACAACGACCATCACATGGATACAKTCCCACATATGTGGTAACCGTCATTCTAATCGATGAACCCCGAGGCTATGAAGCCCGAAACCTGCTTCGCTCGCGGACCCTCTATCAATSGTTTTGAGTACCGTAAGTGTGCAGGTATGTAATGGTCGAAACGAAACAGTCATCCGATCGAGGAAGGAACAAGAATCGTCATAAAGTAGTAGAAAACACAAAATAAGCAGCTCTGTTGAATAACWTATGAYTCAACAATAGAAATACTGATGCCATAGTCTTCTACATGACGACGGGAGGACGCAGAATTCCAAGACCGGTGATCGAAGCCTCCTAAACGAAGAGTAATGCAAGAGATYAGTTATCAACGTGTACGGCAATACTTCTTCGAACCCTTTACATATGTAAACTAAATTCTAATTATTATAGTGCATTGAACTGCATTCCAGTTTTCGTTATGAAATCCCATTCTTCATCAAAATAATGGTTCTCGCATCTCGTCACGAACAACATGWACACGTACTGAATAAAACTACAACCATCAATCCTAAAAACCGTGTGCGCCAACACGGTGTATRTAAGCCGAAGATTCTCACGCAACAACCAAACCCMTTTTGATCGTTGGGTCGAGTAAATTCGGTTCCTTTCGGCCGGTCTGTCACCTAGACAGAAATGGTGTGGTTGTCCACGACCTGGACGGCCGCATCCACAGCCGCMWGGTTCATAGCAGCGTTTGCCCTTTGTGTTTCTTCCACTGCGTGCTGCTGGGCTTCCGCGGCCTGCACAGCAGCAACGGCCGCTTCTACGGCAGCAGTTTCCACAGTCTGCTGGGGAGGGGGGTGCTGTTCCACTACGGGCATCGGAACTGCCGGGTTCACATTGACGTTCACATTCATATTCGCATTTATGTTTGGATTGATATCCGCATTGACATTCGCATTGATATTCACATTCGCATTTGCTACGGCGGCTTCCGCGAYCTTGGCGGCAGCGGGTGGTTCCGCAGTMATGACCCCGGTCATGTCCGGTGGAGCCATGGCCACAGCCGTGGCAGCAGCTACCTCGGCAGCAACGTTGCTCCCGTCGGCCCCGTTGCGCTCCTGGGACTTTTTGTTCCGGGCCGCGGCAGCGCGTTCCCGGCGCTTTCGGTTCTTGGCTTCGAGCTGCGCCGGCGTCAGGCGCTGGTAGCGTTCCCTCTCCAGCTTGGCCCTGCGGGCATTCCGGGTCTTGGCGTCMTCCGTGCCCAGGGAATGATAGCGCTCGCGTTCTCGCTCGCGGCGGCGTTGGCGAGAGYTCTCGCTCTGGCGGTGGTATTGCTCCCGGCGYTTGGCGTTGTAGGTTTGTCGTTGGTCAGGGGTCATGTTGGCGTACCGCTGTCGGTCTTTCATTCGGCGCGTTGCCAACTGGTCCTCATGCGAGTGGCCGGTGGTGGACTGTTTCTTCATGGGTGGCGGAACCTCCTCCTCYACGCTCTTTTCGCGGTATCGCTTGCGACGCTGCTCGTTCTTCTTGTTCTCGGCGTCGATGRCTTCCAGTTCCGCGGCAGTGACGGCGACGTCCATCCCGTTTACGCCCTCGGCCTTCACCGATGCCGCCGCCACCGCTGCGGCAGCCGCGGCCGCCCCATCGTTGTTCCCGTCAGCAGCCAGTGCCGCATCAACTGCTAGTTGCACATCTCCGACGGCAAAAACAGCAGCAGCGGCTGWTATTGTGGTTTTTGAATTGGATGATTTAGTGCGCGCAAGCGTATGTAGGATTATCAAAACGAGAAAAAAAGTAGGAGTAGCAACAGGAACTACGTGGTGAGGCAGGGAAGGATAGGATATTAATTCTCATCGGCACTTCAGTTGGCTTTTTCTTTACTCGATTGGATTACACGCCTACTTACCCGCTTCAGCAATCATGGCCGAGGTGTCAGCGTCCGTTGGTACCTCGGAGGGGGGCACCGCTACGTGGTCCACCAGCGTTTCCGGTACCGCTACCGCCTGTTCAGGAACAGCAGCAGCGGCTGCTGCTGCGGCTACAGCAGCGGCAACCRCGGTTGAGGAGGCCTCGGCGCTGTTGGCATTGGGAACGGTTGGAACTTGCACGGGWACTTGTTGTACTTGTACCTCGTTGGCAGCTGCCACCATTYCTGGCTTCGCTTCGACTTGCTGGTGTGGTTTATGGGCATCGATCGTTTGATCAGTCATTCCGGTAGTTGGTTGTACAKCAGACATTTTCGAAAATATCTGTTTGGATCTGTTTCTTTTGAGTTTTGCTTGTACTACGGGAGATTTCAATATCCCAATTCAAATGGTATCCTTGTGATGTGTATCGTCTGATCGATSGTTTGTCTGTCTGTCTTCAATCCTATCGTATCACAATCTGTCTGTGAAAGATTAGTGTCTGTTGTATGTCCTTTGTACCGGTATGTGCTGGTGTTTTGTCTTGATGTCGTCCGTTTTTTTGTTTGCTGCCTATGGTTCTGTCCTTCGCAATAGTAGGATTTGTGTACAATTCATACTGTCTTTCGTTCAGGATAGTTCTGTCCTTCGTGTTTA